ACCACTTGATTGAGTCGCTCTGTCTGTCCGTCAGTCTGGGGGTGGTATGCTGAAGACATTGCAAGCTTTGTCCCCAACAGTCCCATGAGCTCCTTCCAGAACTTACTCGTGAATTTGGGGTCTCTGTCTGAGATGAGTGTAGCGGGGATGCCGTGGATGGTGATGATGCGGTCGAAGAAGAGTCGAGCAGTTGCTTCAGCTGTAGCTGTGGCGTTGGTCGGTATGAAGTGACCCATTTTGGAGAACTTATCGATCACCACGAGGATGGAATCATGTCCCCGTGAGGTCAAAGGAAGCCCTGTGATGAAGTCAAGGCTAACGACCTGCCATGGCTGCTCCGGTACGGGTAGAGGCTGAAGTAGCCCTGCTTTTTTCTGCTTGCTGCTCTTCATCCGCTGGCACGTGTCACAAGAGGTGACGAACTGCTGCACGTCTGCTGCCATCCCGGGCCAGTAGTAATACTTCGCTATCCCTGCTAACGTCTTGTTGCTCCCGAAATGTCCCGCGTAAGGTACGTCGTGAAACTCCTCCAATAGGATCTGCCGTAGCGGGGCGTAATTCGGTACCCAAATCTTTCCTGAACCCTTCCTTACAGCTAAGTCTTTCTCCCACTGTAATAGCTTCTTGGTCTATGCTGTAGCAATCTCTGCGTCCACGGAGTACCCATGTTGGAATAGACCCTTGAGCAGAGGGTTCATCCCGTCGAGCTGGATGCCTGCTACATGTCCGGGGCGGCTCAACGCGTATGCCTTGTTGTGTAGCCCGGGCTTGTAGACGATGTCGTAGTGGAAGTGAGTTTCCAGGAAATCCACCCACCGCACCTGTCGTCGTGAGAGTGTCTGCTGTGACTTCAGGTATTTGAGACTGCAGTGGTCAGTATAGACTGTAGTCTTGGCTCCCTCTAGGTAACACCTCCACGCCTTGAAGGCTATGACTATCGCTAAGGCTTCCTTGTCGTGAATGGGGTAGTTTAGTTCTGCTCTGTGTAGCTTCTTACTGAGGTAGGCGATGGGCTGCAAACCGCGTCCGTGATCCTGCATCAATACTGCTCCGACTGCTTGGTCACTAGCGTCTGCTTCCACCACGTAGTCCTTGTCTGGATCCGGCAAGATGAGTACTGGCGCTGTAGTCAGTGCTGTCTGTAGCTGCTCCATGGCTTGCTGATGAGGGGTATCCCATTTGTAGGGCGTATCCTTTTTCAGTAGGTCGGTTAGTGGCGCTGCTATCTTAGCGTACTGCGGCACGAACCTGTTGTAGTAGTTGGCGAAGCCTAGGAACTGCTGTGACTCCTTCACGTTCTCTGGTACTTTCCACTTCTTGACGGCTTCGATCTTCCGTGGGTCCACGTGTACGCCCTCGGCACTCACCATGTGCCCGAGAAACTGCACCTTCTTCAGGGCGAAGTCGCTCTTCGACAGCTTCACGTAGAACTTGTTTTTCCGCAGGATCTCGAACACCTTCCGTAGATGCTCCACGTGCTCCTTCATGTTCTTGGAGTAGATGAGAATGTCGTCCAGGTACACCACCACGCACTCGTCCAGCAGGGGTCGTAAGATGTGATTCATCTCCGCCTGAAACGTTGCTGGTGCGTTGCAGAGTCCGAACGGCATCACCAGGTATTCGTAGGAGCCGTATCTAGTACGGAATGCCGTCTTGTGGATCGAGTTGTCCGCCATCTTGATCTGCCAGTAGCCCGATCGTAGGTCCAGCTTCGAAAATACTGTTGCTCCACGCAGTTGATCGAGTAGGTCGTCTATGCGCGGTATGGGATATTTGTTTTTGACTGTCTGTTTGTTCAGTGCGCGGTAGTCGATGCACATCCGTAGACTGCCGTCTGGTTTTGGAGTGAAGAGAACTGGTGCGCCGTAGGGAGAGGTGGATGGGCGGATCAGTTGTCTGTCCAGTAGATACTCTATCTGTTTTTTCATGCCTGTCAGTTCAGTCGGACTCAGTCGGTATGGTGCACGTGAGACGGGTTTCGCACCTGGTTCCTCCACGATCTTGTGCTCGTGGGTGCGTGCTGGAGGTACGCTCGCAGGTAGGTCGCCGGGCATTATATCCTTGTACTGCTCCAAGACCTCCTTCACTGCTGCAGGTAGCTCGGAACTCGGCTTCTCCTCCTCTGCTGCTGCCATAACCAGTGCTAGGTAACCCGTGTTACTCTCGTTCGCCGTCTGTTCGAACCGTGCCAGTGTCGTTTCAGGTACGTCCCCTGTATCCGTCCAGCTTCGCAGTGCTATCCGCTTCCCTTTGTTGTAGATGCACACCTTGCTGTTGACCCAATCGATCTCGGGGTTGAACCGCTTCAGGAAATCTCGCCCCAAGATAAAATCTAATCCTTTGATGTTGGTGACTGGTAGCTTCGGCTTCCACCTCAACGCACCTATATGCAGTTGCAGTGATGCTTCGCCGTGGATAGGAAGCTTCGTACCGTCCACCATGGTTGCTGAAAACTGGGTCTCTTCCGCCTTCTCTCCAATTTTCTCCAATGCTCCGCGGTCACACACCGAGTGAGATGCACCGCTGTCCACCAGTGCCTGGAGGCGTCGCCCATTGCATAACACCTTGAGGAGTATTGGTTTCTACTGTGCTGAGTAGCCAAAGAGGGTCTCGTTAATAGGATCATAGGGTACATCAAACTTAATACCTTCCCTTTTTCCTATACCTGACTCAGCGCTTTCCAACTTCACCTGGGGGGTAGGAGGATTTTTCCGAGGCTTGGCAGCTGTGTAGGCTTCACCTGTGGGCGACGGGGAGCCTTAACACTGTGCTGCGGGGAGAGAATATTAACTCCACGGAACGCACGACCCTTTTCTACGCTCCGTAGTACTTTGCCCAACTTCTCAGGTACCTGAATAATTTCTAAAGGCTTTTTCTTGGCCTCTAGACCTCCCCAAAATTTTTTGAAGGCTTGTAAACTACGAGAAGCAATATTCTTCGTTAGAGCATCTTTATAGGATACTTTTAACGAATTCTTACTTTCGTGGGTGTTCGGTTGGAGTTTCCCGGTCGGTGCAGAGTCTTTTTTCGCGGAGCCTCCATTTGCCTCGGCGATTTCCCTTGATGCCGGCCGGTCGTGACGTTTTAAATTCGCGCCATCATTTTCTCCTTTTTTCACCCGCTCCAAAGTCGCCACGTCGTCGCCTTTTCCTGCTTTTCGGATCTTTACGCGATCGCCAGGTCGATCCGCGGCTACTGGCGATTCCCGTTTTTTGACTTTGGGGGTGCTCCACTGTTTCCGTCCCGGAGTGCCGCACGTGCTTTCTTCATTTTGTAGCACGACAAAAACTGATGTCCTGCTGCGCCGCAAAATTCGCATTTTGTCGGCTGCTCCTTCGCATCGTATTTGTCGATATCCATCGGTTCGGTGAACGTGGGGGGTGCCGATCGCTCCGTGCCGAATGTACGGTTCGGCGTGAAGCGTCGTGTTTCGGGTTGACTTCGAGTCAGCGCGTCGTATCGCTCGGCAGCACGCACGATGTCTCGGTAGCTGTTGTAATTCGCCGCAATCACCTGCGGCCGAATCTCCATTTTTAATCCTTCGGTGTACGCCTAGATTTTTTCGCCTTCGGTTTGGTCGGTGATGCGGTTGAACAGTAACTCCATCTGCTGCGTGTACTGTGTTACACTACTGTATTGCTTGTGTCGGTGTATCTGCTGCCGCGCCATGTAGGTTGTATTAATTGGTTCGAAACGCTCGATTAAATCTGCCCGAAACTGCTGCCACGTTTTCTCCCCGCGGGCTACGTCGGTGTAGTAAATCCATTCGAGAGCCGGTCCACGTAACAGTGTCGCTGCGAGCCGAATCCTTGCTGCGCCGTGTTGCGGGGTCGAACAGCCAATGGCCTCGAAGTAAATTTCGAGGGTGGCCACGAATCGCCGGACGTCGGATCCCTTCGCGCTTGGATCGAACGCCTCCGGGAGCCTCGGTCGTGCTGCTTCGAGGTTCGGCGACAGTGGTGCCATTGGTTCGTGAAATGTCGGTGTCGCCACTGCTACTGGAGTTGTCGGTGATGTAGTCGCTGTGGTCGCTGCTGCTGCGGTGGCGAACCCTGGTTGGCTTGTCAGAAAAGCCTCGAGTCGACGAAGCGTCGCCTGCGTCTGCTCCATATCGGTGCGGAGGCTCGCGATGTCGCTCGTAGTCGCGTAGTTGTCGCCTTGGTCCTCCATTTGGTGATTTACAGGAAGATGCGCGACGAAAATAATCGAATTCTAGGTGCTGGTCGTTTTACTGCGAGTCAAGTTGACTGTAGAATCGACGAGCGCGAATTCTGTAGGTTGCGTGAATCTCCCTTAGGCGAAATTCGCGTCCGATCTTGGCCGTTGAGGAGAAAATCGATCCGACGCTCCAAATTCCAACTTTTTTGGGCGAAATTCTCTGGGCCGTTGAGATGAAACTCGATCGAACGGTCGAAACTCCAACCTTTCCACCAGTAAATCTGAGGGGTGTTCGAAAACCGAATCGAGGGGGACTTAGAAAAAATGCGCGGAACTGGTTTTACATACCCGTATCGGCGCTTTCGTCGTCGCCCCCGCGGTTTTTAAAGGCCGGAACTAAGCGGTTGAAGACCTCGCGTGTAAACCCGCTCTGATTACCAAGTGTGAGGATCTAGGATCGAGTTCAGAAAAGAGAATGAGAATTGAGTCGAATTGAATTGAATTGAATGTCCACCTGGGTACAACACGAGGCTATATAGAGGCTCGACACAAGGCCCCGTAACCAGGTGTTACGCGAAGGTTCCGCGGGTCGCGAAGCGTCCCGAACAGATCCTTACCGAATTCGGTAGAAGGCAATTCGGTGGCAACCGAAAAGCCAGAATTCGGTGCACGCAACCTAGCTCGGTGCTATAACTATAATAAAATATAGGAAAGCACCTAGCCTAGGAAATCAAGCAATTCATGCATGCATATGATTATCCTATGCTAGAAATAGCATGATAAAGTAGAGGCAAGCAAGCATAGCTGGCATAAGCCGTCGTACTCTCACAGGAGGTGCTGAGATGGTGAGTGCTGTGAGGGGAGGTGCTGAGATGGTGAGTGCTGTGAGAGGAGGTGCTGAGATGGTGAGTGCTGTGAGGGGAGGTGCTGAGATGGTGAGTGCTGTGAGGGGAGGTGCTGAGATGGTGAGTGCTGTGAGGGGAGGTGCTGAGATGGTGAGTGCTGTGAGAGGAGGTGCTGAGATGGTGAGTGCTGTGAGGGGATGTGCTGAGATGGTGAGTGCTGTGAGGGGAGGTGCTGAGATGGTGAGTGCTGTAAGGGGAGGTGCTGAGATGGTGAGTGCTGTGAGGGGAGGTGCTGAGATGGTGAGTGGTGTGAGGGGAGGTGCTGAGATGGTGAGTGCTGTGAGGGGAGGTGCTGAGATGGTGAGTGCTGTGAGGGGAGGTGCTGAGATGGTGAGTGCTGTGAGGGGAGGTGCTGAGATGGTGAGTGCTGTGATGTGAGGGGAGGGTGAGTGCTGAGATGGGAGGGTGAGTGCTGAGATGGTGAGTGCGGTGATGGGAGGGTGAGTGCTGAGATGGTGAGTGCGGTGATGGGAGGGTGAGTGCTGTGAGGGGAGGGTGAGTGCGGTGATGGGAGGGTGAGTGCTGAGATGGTGAGTGCGGTGATGGGAGGGTGAGTGCTGAGATGGTGAGTGCGGTGATGGGAGGGTGAGTGCTGAGATGGTGAGTGCGGTGAGTAGGAGTGCCTGGCGGGACAGCTCGGGCTGGGTGGCATGGAAAGTTTGCCGGCAGGTCCTTGGTGGGTAGCAGGGGAAGAGTTAGCTCAAGGCAGGGGAGGGGACAGTGAAAGAGGAAGTGCAGGGCAGGGAGGGGAGCAAAGGAAGGGGGAGAATGGTGTGCTCGTTGCTGCTGGTTGTTGCGATTCTGATATTTTTTTCCAATCTCTGCCTTTTCTGACACGTGTCAGGCCATCGAGGATGGAGCTCGGGTGATGGTGAAGGAGTCCTACTTCTTCCCCGTGAAACCCGATGACGTCACTCCCATTGCCAACTGGTTTGTCCGTGAGTGGGCGAAGCTCCACAGCGAGGCACACCAAGCCTTTGCGGGTGCATTGCTTCGACGCCAGCTGAGGCCAACGAAAGTTCGTGTAAGTGGTGACAATGGTGACATCAAGCAGATACCATATGTAACTGAATGTTACTTTGTACTGATTTGTGTCTCTTACTGGTTGCAGGCTCACACAACACTTGCCATCCCTGCTGCAGAAGATGCGAGTTTCGCCCATGTAGCACATTTCGTGAAAGCAACCCCGCTGTCTCACTCTAGGCCGTGGTTCTCTGATGTTGCCATCGTGGGAACAACAGCGACAGGTGCAGAGGCAGAGTGGTACGGAAGGCTCTTGTTGCTGTTCCATACGAAAGAGAGAGGGTGCACGAAGGAGTGGGCATATGTGAAGTACTGGTCAAACGCAGGCGAGGATGCAAAAACAGGGTGCAAACGTCTTAGGTGGGCAACTGGGGTATCGCGCTACTCAGTGATTGACACTGAAAGCATATTGCGCCAGGTGCACATTATCAAGTCTTACCACAGCGACAATGCATTCTATCTTAACAAGTACCTGCTAAATTAGATATAAATCCTACGCACATCTGTACTTTTTCATAGGCAACCAAACCTGTTTTGTATTAAGAGGCAAGATTACATGCAATAACAACTTATGACTTTACAGGTTATATATATACATGCACATGTGATTGTTTAACCAGCAGCCTTTCAATATTATAAGACATAACTTTGACTTGATGTAAAATTTGTTTGAAAGAAACACTGTAGGCTCATCTTGGTCCATAATTACTCCTATGCGAGATCATTTTTGCAGGGCCCAAACGCACCCTATCGCCACGTCTGGTCGTGCGCCAAGCAAAGCTGTGGCTCAGTGACCCAGAAATATTTGCGGGAAACCAACGCACCCCATTCTCGAAACTGCTTTTTCAACCTGGTCAAAAGAGCACTGTACACCTGACATTGACCGAAATTGGGCCAATTTCGCTTCGCCGAGGCGCACAATGTCTCGCGAGTCGGTTCGGATGCGCGAAAGCAGATCGAAATTTGAGAATGACGCATTTACGCTGGTGGTTGGGCGAAAAAAGTTGGACAACCCACGCAACCCAACTTCCGAAACCAATTCGACCCGTTTCCAAGCGATTCAAAAACGAGGGGTTTTTGTGATGGCGGATTACGTGTGATATGGAGAATGATAGGGAGGATGGGCGGCAAGGAGGATGGGCGGCAGGGAGGGTGGGCGACAGGGAGGATGGGTGGCAGGGAGGATGGGCGGCAGGGAGGATGGGTGGCAGGGAGGATGGGCGGCAGCATCGCCAGATTCCGAGGTCCCAAAAGCTTCCCGAAAGTATCCCGCGAGAGACATTCGGGACATTTTGCAACCCCATCCCGAAAGTTTTCTGTGGGAAGTCTGTGGTGACGTTTCAAAGAGTCTTGAAATCGTCCCGCAGGACTCTTATGAACTGGCTCGAAAGTATTTTTCGGGGACATTTCCAGGACATTAGGGGGACACATTTGGGACGAGTCACGAGCCAATCACCTTTGAGCGCGGTTCGGATATATGCGGTTCGGAATTCGTGGGTCCAACATTTCGATTTGATATACGCGCCCTCAGTACAACATTCAAACTACATAATATATTTGTTTACAAAACATCTTCAACAGAATTACACTGGTGAACATTTGTCTGCAGTAATTAAAATCCGTGGATCAAGAAGGCTAAAATTTGCCTCATCCTTCCTAATGTTGGTTGGATGTCCCAAAAACGCCCCTGCTGATTCCCGAGTTCTGAGACCTAGGCCAACATTTATGACACTCCTATTGGTGTTGAACAAGAATGAATGAACTAAGAGTGAAATGAGTACAAGTATCAAAACCTAGGAATGTGTACCCCCTATAGGCTAACCCACTGTAGCCTAAACAACTACAACAACATATATAATGTTTGACACACCCCCATAGGCGAAGTGGGGGAGAACTAGGGGTCACAAGACCAGTCAAGTAAAGCAAAACAAAGCAAGCTCAGGGTGGATCACAACGTCACCACACAATCCGAGCACAAGTGCAAGGCCACAAGGCCAGTTCACATGCAGGAGTACAGATATATATATAAGACTAAACAAGCAAGAGCAGTGATATATATATGTAACAGTACAAAGAGGGTCAAGAGGAGAGCAAGTGAGGCAAGACAGACACAAGACCCAGCTGGGTACAGCAGCGCTGATGATCACAAGGCGGAAGTGCCTTGGTGAAGACATCAGCAGTGTTGGCCTCAGAGGCCACGTACGCAAGTCGCAACTGGCCACGCTGCTGTAGCTCACGAGCAAGGAAGTAGCGGAGAGCAATGTGCTTTGTTCTGTGCTCCAGTCTCTGCTCCCGACACAAGGTCAGCATGGCCTTGTTGTCGACGTACAGGACTGGAGGAGAACGAGGCGGCTCTCCAAGGTCGGTCAGCAGGTAGGTGAGCCAGCGAAGCTCCTGAGCAGCCATGGCCCCTGCGTAGATCTCAGCCTCACAACTGGAGCCAAGAACAGAAGATGAGCGAGTAGCACGCCACGAAACAGAGCCGGAACCAAGGCTGAAGGTGTAACCCTGTGACGACCGCTGCGTAGCCTGGTCGTCAGCCCAAGAAGCGTCTGCGTGTCCAGTGAGGACCACTGGACTCCGCCCTCCAAGCACTAGCCCCATGCCCGACGTACTGCACAGGTAGCGCAATACCCTCTTCGCTGCAGCCATGTGCTCCGGTCTGTGTCTCCCAGGAGCAACATAGCATGCAAGAATGCTCAGAGGGTATGCAAGGTCAGGTCGTGTGCAGGTCATCAGGTACATGAGGCAGCCAACAAGCTCTGCATACGGGCCACTCGACTCTACGGACTCATCCGAAGGCAGAGCTAAGAGCGAGTGGCGAGTAGACAGAGGAGTGGCCTGAGGCGAGGAGTACGTGAAGCCGAAGCGCTGAAGGACCTGCTGCACCATGTGTGACTGAGTCAGGGTAATGGTGCGGCGTGCTCTGTCCCGGGTGATCTGCAAGCCAAGGTAGCTGCGCAGTTCACCCAGGTCAGTGCACGTGTGTCTCTTCTGCAGCTCGGACTTCACGTAGGCGAGTCCAGTAGTGTCAGCTGTGGCAAAGACCAAGTCGTCGACGTACACGAGGATGTAGAACGGCGGTAGAGAGGTGTCGGTGCGCAGAAACAACGACGGGTCGGCAGTAGACAGAGCGAACCCAAGAGCAGCAAGCGTAGTCCTTAGTGCGTCGTGCCACTCACGTGGCGCCTGGCGGAGACCGTAGACTGGACGCCGGAGACTCCACTGGGAACCAGGAGGGAAAGACCCAGTGAAGCCAGGTGGGCAGCGCAGCTAGATCTCCTCGTGCAGGCTGCCCTGCACGAAAGCTGTGCTGAAGTCGAGAGAGTGCAGCTCGTAGTCCCGATGAGCAGCAACGTGCAGCAGTACCCGAAGAGTGGTCATCTTTGGGGTGGGGGAGAAGGTCTGAAAGTAGTCAACTCCCTGTCGCTGACTGAAGCCACGAGCCACGTAACGCGCCTTGAAGACAGGCGGAGAACCCGGCGGCCGCTTCACCCTGAAGATCCACATGCCACTGACGATGTTCGCCCCAGGAGGGGGGACAGCGTCAACGTAGGTGCCTGTGGACTTCCAGGAAGCCATCTCTACATCCATAGCTGCCTGCCACTGAGAGGAGTAGGGACCCTCTATCGCCTACGCGTAAGAGCGCGGAGTCGGGATGTCAAGTGCATCCGGGTCTCCCTCAGGGGTAAGCAGTACGGACACGAGATGAGGTGAAGCAGCTGCAAGACACTGGAAGTCCTCCTGCCTGTCCTCAAGGACGTCCGTGCCAAGGGCACACTCACCCCCGACGGACGGAGGACAGACAGACTCAGACTCAGTGACAAGACTAGCAGCGTAGTCTAAGCGACAGCAAGCAGCAAAGTCGACGAGCTCAGTAACGAGAGCAGACGCAGCAGTAGACTCGAAAGAAGGGTCAGTGACAACAGTAGCAAGGAGACGCGTGACAGTAGGACTGGCAGCACGAAGAGAGTCCGACTCAGGGTCGGCTAGAGCAGGAAGAGAGGAAGCAGGAGGAGAAGGCAAAGGGGCACGCAGAGGAGCAGTAGACGGACGTAGAGACATCCGGTGCGTGCCAGGGGCAGGGGGAGGACGCTGGCGCGAACTACGAGCACTAGCGCTAGCAGGACGGACAGGCGACGCAGGGCGAGACGCAGACTCACGACGCTCAGTAAGACCGCCAGTAGGACCAGTGTAAGGAGAAGGAGCAGGTAGTGGGGAGGCCGGCTGCAACTGTAACTGTGACGGGACAGGCTGTGAACATGCTAAGGGAGGAGGACCAGGAGGAGGCGAGAGACCAAGAACCTGCTGAAGGAGCGGAACGAAGTACGGCTAAGGGCGCGCGGCGACTCCAG